GTCTCTTCCACGCCTGCGCAGTGACAGTCTCCTCAGCAGCTCTGGGAAAGCCCTGCATCAAATGGACTCCCCACCAGTGTGGCAAGCAGTCTTTTTTCATTCTCTCTGCATGGTTGATGAATGTCCTCAATTCATGAAAGCCTCATTCAGTCTTGGTGGATGTGGTAGGGCAAATCCAAGCTATTTTGACAGTAACAGGTTACCATGTGGGACTTACCCATTACCTATATTAACCCATGTGTTTTCACATCTATTACCTCTGTCTCACAAGAGGAGAAACTGGGCCCAGAGGAAGGAAGCAAGTCTCTTCAGGGCCAGTCATCTGGGAATAACCAAAACTGAGAGTCTAGGCAGGAACATTCCAGCAGTCTTAGTGGAAGCCCCCAGCAAAGTTCCCTGACTTGGATTAGGGAAGGCCTCTAGAACTTTGCATAGCTGCGACCCACTTGGTGAGGAATTAGCTGGAGAAGGCGTGCAAATGATTTGCCAGACAACGATTATGCTGCAGAGGATACTGTCCCTGTCCCCCATTCAGCAGAAAACTATTTGCCTTCTTTGCTGTGACCTTGCTCTGTTTATGTCTGTACAGTATCTTGTCTATTTAATAGGAGACCAAAGTTTTCAAATTTTCTCCTACAACTGCCTCCTCAAAGTCAACTGGTGTCAAAAGGTTGGTTGGTTGGTTCACATCCCTGAGACTATGCCCATCTTTCTTTCCCACTGCATCTAAAACATGGCTGGCATAGAGATTTGTTTATTGGATTAATAAATAAAGGAAATGAATAAACAATGTGAGGGAACTATTTAGCTTCAGAAATGAAATGAAAAGAAGCGACAACTGATGTTCCCACTGCTCACCCTCATCTTTTGAAACACTAGTAAGCTCCCAGCAAGCTCAGTATTATATTTGCATTGGCCAGTGATTTGTTAGGAACCATCTGTCACCTCCCAAATCAAATCTACGTTTTCAGCCTGCTAAGGATGAGAAAAAAATATCGTGAGCAACTAAAAGCTTCACACTTTTTATGGAACATTCAGAGGGGATTCTACTTATGTGGCCTACAGACAATGCACTGTATACAGGCTCTTTACCCTATCCACGTACCAAAACCATATAGGAGAGATTTTGATTTAGTTGGACTGAGATGGGCCCTTGCATTACCTTTTTTTTTTTTTTTTTTTTTTTTTTTCCTTTGAGAGATGAAGAGAGGATCTGACCATATATCCCAGGCTAGCTTCAAACTCTTGATCCACCTGCATCAACTTCCCAAGTGCTGGAACTACAGGTGTGTGCTATCATGTGCAGTGGCATCGCTAGTTTAAAAAGCTTTCCAGGTGCTTAAAAAAAAATCTGTCATCATCATTTGAGTGCCATTAAGGTGCTAGGTGAGATCGATCTCATTTTTCCCCAAGGAGTAGGTAAAAAGAGTAATGACAGATCAGAAAGGCAAACAAGTCTTAGCTCTTAAAGTGTGGCCCAGAGGACAAAACAGTTTTCCCCCTAGCACCTCTTACTTGTCCCCTGGCTCCTGGTCCCACCATCCCTAAGCTCTGCTAGAAGACCCAGAATACTTGGGGATAAATAAGAAATGACCATGAGCACATTCCAGGTCTCTTGGCTTCAATCACATCAGTACCGTGGGTAACAATAACCTGATGTGTTAGGGAAAAGTAGACTCCGTACATTGTTAGCAGAAGTAGGGAAGCAAGCCCAGGTAGGAAGAGAGAATTAGCCAGTTCCCAGGGGAAGAACTTCAGGTTGAGGCAGGGTCATTTTGCTGGTGGGTTAAGTGAAAAAGGTCCTTAATAGCCACCTTATGGCCTGCTGTGGTGCTCTTATCAGGTGACAGAAAAGCAGCCAAAGGCTGGGGGTGTAGCTCAGGGTTAGAACTCTTGGCTACCTTTGGGAAATCCCCCTTTGATCCACAACAGAGGAGGTTGAAGGGAGAAGTTGCAAGTTGTCACACCAGGCCAGGCTTCTGTGCTGCTGGGGATGGTCACAGCAGGGTGTGAACGTGTCATCTATGTGACTGCCTGCAGGAACTGCATATTCAATGTGTACAAGTGAGTTTCTAAGAAAAGGTAGCTCAGCTTCCCAAAGATTAAGCATGATATCTGGCCATGAGTAATATTTACTTCAGGCTGAATAAAAAAATTGTCACCTTTTCACCCTGGCCTGTGTGATATGTCCGAGCGGAGGTATCAAGGCCAGGCTTGGTGAATTAGAGAAGAAGCTAACCAGCCATCCTTTGTGCTCCACCTCTCTCTCCCCTAGAGCTCTCTTCACAGCTGTAGCTTCCCCATATCCAGAGGGCCCAAGCTCAGCTAGCATCACCAGCTTTGTCCTCCACTCCAGCCTGTACCTTTGCTCCCTGTGGCAACCCAGGATCTTGGTTGTTTTTAGGTCTCCATTCTTCCTGTATATCGTTTTGCTCCCAAACTGAAGCCCATTCCCCTTCCTAGACCCAGTGTCCTGCCCTTTAACCCCAAAGTCCAATGAACATGGTTCTTGAAAGGTCCTTCCTAGCTTCCTGGTTCCTGGTTGTCACTCTGATTTACCACCTTCAACATTCTGAGATGCTCTTAAAAGGTCATGGGCAAAAGGGTAGTGCCCTGCTCTGCCTTTTCTCGACGGAGTCAAAATCCAGGCCTTGTCAATTAACTAATACATGTCTCTACATTGTTTTAGAAAAAAAATTACCAATTCTACCATAACGTGCGTGCTCTCTCTCTCTCTCATGCATGCGCACGTGCGCGCGCGTGTACACACACACACACACACACACACACACACAGAGAGAGAGAGAGAGAGAGAGAGAGAGAGAGAGCAGTGAATTTTGGCTGTGTTGGGGCAGAAATTCTATTTAGCATCATCTATATAAACTGCTTCTTATTTATGGCTGGGCTGACTTCCACGGCATACAGTGACAGTGTGGGGATCCAGAGTGCCAGCTGTCTTTCCTTTCAAAGCCAAGCTCTATTCAGGTATGTCCAGTCTTGAAAGGTTGCTCATCTGTGCCATGGCTGTTTGCTTCAATCCGGGGGTGGGGATCATTAAAAGAGAATGTTGATTTACACATAGGAGCCAGAAAGAGGTCTGGATCATCTCCATCCTTTGTGATAGATGAGCCTTGTGTCTCTACTCCTCTTGGGCCAGCTTCCCCTCTCCTTCGCAGGACGGAAAGCACGGAGTACCAGCACTCTGTTATCTTTTCTTTTGAACATCAGTTTCCTTCCTCCTTTACTAAATGAAGCACATAGAAGTCCAAAATACAAAAACAGGTTTGAAAGAGGAGCTGCCTAAGGGCGCCTCTGAAGTTCTCTCCCAGAGCCCTAGGGTTTTCAGGCTCTTCCTTAACCTATGACTTTATAAGAATGGGGCGTATCTAGCAGGCCCCTTATACAATTCTCACAGTGTGTGTGTGTGTGTGTGTGTGTGTGTGTGAGTGTGTGTGTGTGCACGTGCGCGTGCGTGTGCACACACATGCATGTGAGTGTCTGTGTGTACCTGCGTGCATGCCTCTGTGTGTGTGTATGTTTGTGTGAACAACACCTACATGACAGGAGGTGGCATCCCTGGAGCATGCTCAGTGTACCAACAGGTTAACACTAGGACCCCAGCAAAAACAAGTGGAGACAAACATTTCATTCTTAATTTCAGACCACAGTGGTTAAGATGTGTGCTTGGGCTTCTGTCAAGTTCAGAAAGGCTCAGTCCAAGTGATTTTTATTTGAAAACGACCTCTCCAGAGAGTCGTTGAGAATTCAATGAATTGACTTCAGTTTGCCTCAATTTCAGAGGTGGTTTTGAAACCAGTGGTTCCTCCCAGCTCTAAAATACTGAGCCATTTGTCCTAATGACACAGCAGACTTTGGACTCCCGAGCACCACAGGAATATCACACCACTGCAAATTACTAGGGGTGCTGAGTCTTCAAAAAAGGGGAGTCAAACAAAAGCACTGTACTGTTTCTGGGATGCAGGCTTGATATGGACAAACCAAGTTGCTTGGGAGCCCCGGAGTTTTCCTGGAGGCAGAATGATTGTGCCCAGTTACATGGCCCCAAGTTTTCTGTTGTTGTACCTATCTCTGAATAAATACATGGCCCATGTTAATGTGCTCATTTCTCTTCCTCTGAAGCTTTCAAAGAAGTTATTTATTATTTATTTATTTTTATGCCATGGCTAAGTGCATAATCGGTCAACTTTACAAAAGGAGTCATTTGGTGCTCATTTCCCCCGGTTTTCCTGTGTTAAAAACTTTTGCCGTCCAGCGGCGTTATTGTAGCTTGTAGTCTAGGTTGCTTTGATACTCCCTCACCCAACAAATGTTTAAATCGCCTCTGCTGCTGGCTCCTCCTTTTCTTTTCCCAAGCTGACTTTGACTTTTCTTTACAGCCTAAACTATTTTAAAGCTGAGGCCCTCTGACCTTTTCACAACAAACTTCTTGCTGGTGACACGCCAAATGCTAATCTGAAAGCCAAGAGCAGGCAAAGGGTCTGGGGGGGGGGTGGGCAGAGTCGGGAGAGGTACTATATATTTGGCATCAACTCAGAAATCAGAAAATATATTTGTGCAACCACTCTCCCAGCCAGGGTCCCCTTCCTCGCCCCCACAGTACACTGCCTGCTACCCGACACTTCTAGAGAAACCTACTGATGACAGCTCCACAAGTCCCCCCCTCGCGACCCCAATCTTTCCGTTTCAACACCCAAAGTTTAAGATCAGAGCCTCCCAGGGTTCAGCCTTGGGGATGGCCGGTTACCGCCACAGCCACACCACCACTCATCAACCACTCCTATGACACGTCGGACAGACACAGCTCCTGAACGTCCGGGTGGCCGGGTTGTGTTTAAGAATAGTGTACTTTTTTTTTTTTTTTTTTTTTTTTCAAGTACAGCGAGCATACGAGCCTGGAAGACATTAAGTCGTGAACTGCATCCAACACACCCCAAGAGAATCCATAACCCTTAAACAAAAAGGGGGAGGGGGTACATTACCATCCTGTCCCGAACTTTCCAGATACTCTGTCAGGTCACATCCAAACGCACTGGCGCCTCCCTTTCGTTTCAGCTTCTGCTTGGCACCCTTGTTCTTCATGAGTTAGTCCCACAGAGGCTGCCCCTCCGTCTCTGCTCTCTGCTCCGCTCGGCTGACGAGGGTTTCAGGGTCGGATCACCGGAGCAGAGCGGCGCCGTGGGTCGGCATGGGCGCGCAGATCGGGCCGTGCACCGCCCCGGGCGGGTGTCACCTCCCTACTCGGGCTCCCTCGGTGTCTCCCCGCTCTTCTCCGCTGAGCCTTGCGAGGAGCTGGGGCCGGGACGCGGCGGCGAGGGGACCGCCCCGGAGCTGTGAGTGTGCTCCGCCCTAGGCCCGCGCTCGTTCTGCCTTCAGACCGCTGGGGGACCGCGAACAGCGAGCATCCCGTCCCCTCGCCCGCCCTCGCGCCGTCCCTTTTTTCCTGTCTTACAAATCCCAGGATCGTCCTGCTCAGGAAACGCTGGAAGGAAGTCAGCTCGGGAGGGGGGCGGAGGTTGGAAATTTTTGGCAGCTCTTGAGTGTGTGTGTGTGTGTGTGTGTGTGTGTGTGTGTGTGTGTGTGTGTGTGTGTGTGTGCAGTCGAAGGAAGTGAGTGGGTGGGTTGAGCCACGCGGGTTGGGGGAAAAATCGTACTCGACCGAAGCGAGTCTGCGAGTTCAGAAATCGCCCAGGGCCGCCCCGGAGGAAATCGGCCTCGCGAGGACCGGTGGCCACCCGCCCGCTTCCTGCCACCAGCCCGGCTCTGCAGGGAGGGCACGGGATGGATGCTCACGAAGTTGTCCTCCTTGTCATTCCAGTCTCAAGACTTTCTATTTCAGTGCCTGCCTTTCTCCTCCGCAAACACAAATGACATTAACAAAGACTGGGAGTCCAGAAACCTGACCAGCAGAGTCTTTTCGTTGGCCACTCCCATCTCTCCTAGCCAGGGTCTGAGAGGTCCCTGAAGCCCAGACATCTCTTCTCCCACGCTGAGGTTAGGATACCCTTGGGCTAGAGAGGTGCAGCTTTGTACCGCTGCCCAGGAAGTTTTATTTGTAGTTACAAATTCAAGTTCACACACACACACACACACACACACACACACACACACACACACACACTCCAACCTTGCTAAATGCAAGATATTTTAGGGGAGACTCCAGGATTTAAGGGGGTTCTGTCATCTTGCCATCATGCAGAGAACAGTCTTCCAGGTGGGTTTAAAACTTGAGGCGTGTGCTTTCGGGAGGGCATGTTTTTCCTTCCCTTAGTTGGAATCCCTTGACTTCTGTGTACTCAGCGCACACTGAGCACTCAAAGTCTTGTGCTTTAATAATTTGAAGATTAGATTAAACTTCCTGTATACATTCAAATCCATATATGGGCTTGAAGGGCAGAGATATTCATAAAGCTGGCAAAAGCATTATGTGTAATATTTTAGTTACATATTCCCTTTAAAGTCAGTTATGTTTCATCATGACAGTTTATGAACTTTGAACTCGGACCTTTTCCTATGTTGGGACATAACTTGATAGCCAGCCTATCAAATCTGGCCTACAGATGTGTGTGTGTGTGTGTGTTGGAAACGTGTTATTGTTTTATAATATTAATAGCCAACATTAAAGAATTAAGGTATTTTTCCATAAGAAATGTGGATTTCTGTCGTCTCTGATGAAACGGAAGCTCTGGTTATACCACAAATGTGTTCTCACTTAGCAAGGACTGTGGATTCTAAGACATGACAGCCCCCACTAGAGATGGATCTTGTAGTTTGGACTCCCTCTACCTATCTTCCAGCCTTTACACCTGTCTGCCTCTGGAGCTTCTTGAGTGTGTGCCCGGTCCCCAAGCTCTCTTTACCTCCATATTCCCATCTCTCTCAATGACACCAGCACTGGCTCAGTCCTCCTGATAAGACATCTTCAAGTAACCACTGACTCATTGCTATCCCCCCCTTCTCCTTCCAAGCTAGTCCAGCCCCCCAAAGCACAAGTCCTTCACAGTGCCTCCCAGTTGGGGTCAGGCCTCCTTGGTAGCAATCACATACACCTCAGTGGTTAGAATCCCCACCCCACCATTTGCTGTGTCCAAGCTCCTCCCACCCTACCCATCCTACATGTTAGATGCTGCTGTTGTTCACACACCTGTTTGCTCAAAATCTATCAATGACTCTGTTTCCAATAGTCACAGCAGCAACTCCCAAGCATCCTGTAAGCTGTTTGGATTACTTAATATAATGGCTTATTTCTCCTTTTATTTCTAGGGAAGCATCTCTTTGTGGAACTGGTAACCTTTGCTTGGCACTTCAGCAAGGGCTTTCAGAGTCTTATTTTCCCCCCTCTCTTCTTCCTTACTTTAAGTAGATTCTTTTATAGGACTATGGTGTGTGTGTGTGTGTGTGTGTGTGTGTGTGTGTGTGTGTAATCAGATTTGGATCCCAAAGGGTTCTTCCGTTGTACTGCGGATTTCCTAGGATTCGAGGTTATACAGTGATAGGGTAGGAATGTTCACTGAAGGACTAAGTAAACTATCTGGCGATAAGTTATGAATTTACTGGAAAAGCACTTTTGCTTACTGAGACCCAGCACTGACAAGACCTGTGGTTGCTTATGACTCCCTTATCTGTACCTGCTAAGAACTAATGGCTACCAAATCTTGCCCACCATTAATAAATAGAAGCTGGACAACCAGTATCAATAGGTTTTAACATCATCTGTGGTTATAACCTTTTCTTTGCCACTTTTCCCATAAAAGTAGATTTAATATCAGCAACTTTATCATTTATCTCCCTCTCCCAGGTAGCTCATAAGACTCCTGGTCCACGATCTGAATTTCATGTTCTCAGATGCTGGCATGTTAACTTGTTCTCTAGCCAGATGCATTTCTTCCTTACTTCCTCTTCCTGCCTCCAGCTGTCCCTGTTTTAAAGGTGCTCAGACTGTGTCTGGGGGGTGGGGTGAGATCAACTGCCTGGGAAGCTGTTTGTGACAATGGTTTGTGTCTTACCCAGTCCTCTGTATTCCAGGTCAACAAAGGGGAGAGGATGACCAGGATAAACAGACTTCAGCAAGCTGGCACCCCAGGCTCCTTCATTGTACTTCTTGTGCGTGGTATTTCGTTTATGTTACATTGCAAGTGGCTGCCTCTGAAGGTCCAGATGAGGTGGACCAAGCTTTGTTAGAGGAAAACTGACAGAGCCACACTGCCAGTCACTAACAAAGCACAAGTGAAGATCTCCACTTCTTGAGAGGAAAGGAACAGGAAACCGGAATGAATTTTCCATCCTGACCAGTCCATCCCCCATCTCTACCATCTCCACAACTACGAAAGCCAGTGCTGCTTCTAACAGGCTTTCAAGAGTAAGCATAAGCAGTGTTAAGGCTGAGTGAGAAGGGATTTCAAAGGGTCTCCCCATCTCAAATATGGTATGGAATGTCTGTCCGTCTGTCTGCCTGCCTGCCTGCCTGCCTGCACTCCTGCCTGCCTTGTTCTTTTGGAAAGCTGCATCACTCAGAATGAGAGTTACACACATCACTTTGCTCTCTTACCTGAAAAAGAAATTTGAGGTTAGGTAGGAAGGGTGCAAGGGAAGAGAAATGGTTGAAAAAAAAAATTGGGTTACATATGCTACACACAAAGTCTAGATTTAAGAAGGTAGAGTCAAAGGCCAAACCAAGTTCTTAAGAGCTGGGCACTGGTAAGAGTAACTCAACCTACTTCTTTGCACATCAAGGGCCACACTGGAACTTTCAGGAAGAAATATTCTTTGACTGTATAAAAGATAAGATAGGGTAGAAACTGACAGGATGGAGGATGAGTTTATAAATTAAAATTTCCTCACCAGCATTTTAGTCACTCTCTAATATCTTTACATTGAATACTGTCACTTAAAAAAAAAAAAATCCGGGAGGGAGGGAGAGGGAACTGGGATCTATATGTAAAATAAGGAAAAATAATCAATTTGTATAAAAAAAGAAAATAAAAAGGAAAAAATCTAAGAGATCTGGAGATTTTCTGTCTCCCTGAAAGTTAAAAAACAAAAAGCCATTGTGACATTTGACCCATATCCACAGTTTGCCATTAAATGAGTCTTTAGCATTTTAGACGACGCCATGAGTGAGCACAAAACTCACTTGTCCCATTCGACATGGGCCCCTGAGGCTGCCAAAGAGCAGCAGGACACTTCCTTCCTAATCCAGGACTGAGAAGAGACTTCAAGGCCACAAGGAAAGCAGAATGTCCCTGCTGAATTGCTATTATGCCCACATCTGAACCTACATAGCCCACATCTGAAGTTGCAAAGGGCCCAGCCTCAGGCTCTGAGTCTGAGTTTGGATCCATTTGTCTTGAGGCCTTTGATCAGCGGCCCAGAGAGAAAAATGACTGGGCTGTTCTTTAAGAGTGGCCCCTAGAAGCTTGCTGGCTCTGTCCTGAGCGTCTGGAGGTGTTTTCTGATCCCTCCCAGTAGCTACAGCTTGAGATAATTTCTTTTGCTGTGTCTTCCACGTCTCAAACGGGACTTTTTGACTAGGGGGCGTTCTCGGGATAAAAACCATCTTGCCTCTTTGACTTGTTTCTGTAATCCTGGTTTGGTTCTGTTGCCTCCTTCAGCCTCTACTTCCTCCCTCACTGGATTCTGCACTCTTTGGGCACGGTGCCTTTTTTTTTTTTTTTTTTCTGACTTGGAAAAAGAGAACTATAGAAGGATCAGAGCTGGGCTCTGAGCCCCATCTGTCTCCCTCCAGGGTCCTTCTACACTGGAGCAAGCGATTTTCTTAGGTGGGTGGGGAGCTGTCCCCGCCCCGTTCATTGTGTTCCACAGTTTCCTGTACACTGCCTGTAACCCTTTACCAATCTGCCAGGCGCCTTTTAACACAAAAGAAAGGCGAGGAGGCAGGGACCGCTGAGGAAAAACATCCCTATAAATAGCCTCTTGAACGAAATTGTTTTCCTCATACACAGTTGTTGTTAGGCCTTGACGCCCCCTAGTCTTCCTCCGCACTCTCCTCCCCTTCCATTCCAGCCTTCCTCTCCAAGCTTGCTTTCCTCCCCAGACCTGCTGAGAAATACAGGTGTAACGGGGGAGGGGGGCTGCTTGATGGAGGCTGCAATTCTCCAGCCCAGGTTGCTGCTCCCAGCTGCAGGTAGAGGATGCCAGCGGGAGGTGGACCTTGGGTCCTAGGTCAGGCACTGCTGAGTTTTTGCCCTAGGACCTCCGCTGGGCAAATTTTCTAACCTTGCTGATCCTCAGGGCCCTGATCTTAACGAGGGTGGTGGTAACACCTTGTAGAGTTGCTATGACAATTTAGAAAGATATTGGAAAGGCCTGACGATTAATGTGTACCTACATGGGTCCTGCGTACAACAATGAGTGCTTTGTTTGTTTGTTTCCTTTACACAGAGGGAATCTACTTTTCGTGCAGCTCATCCAGTGTTTTTGGTGTGTCCGTCCCCCACCCCCACTTGACATCCTGGTTTCCCATCCCATATAAACCGGTGTATAAGCCTTAAGCTTATTTAATCTTCATTTATTTATTTATTATTTAT